CTGTGGGCTCCTGAAACATCAAATGACCTAGGCATAATTTAATTCTATCCTTCCCTCTAACCTGTTATGTCAGATTCATTTTTCATGTTAACAAATTACCACCCAGGACGTCTAGGATACCAGAGTGCAGATAAATATGAAGGCTGTTTTTATAGTTTAGACACCAGAGGAGGGAAAATCTTGGATCCCAGGATAATAAAGGGGTAGGGAATGGTACATTAAACTGAACAAGGAGCCTAAGATAGGACATGGCTATAGGGTTGTGGGGTTCTGAGAAGCTATGGCCAACTAAACCCATGCCCCATGCTCTATTTAACATGGGGTTAAATTTCAGTTGTCATGTTTGGGGGCAACTTCCAAATCCAGTAGATCATACCACCTGGAATTATCTGGAAGGAAGTGGGAGGAGGGCTGCAGTAACCTGAATCCAGGAGAAGTTTGGCTGTACCCCGAGCATAAAAAGAAAGGGAGTAGTAGTGACAGGGACTAGCCAAGATAAACCTGTAATCTGGGATCTGGTTACCCACGTCTGCTGCAGGGATTACAGGAATAAAAGCAGCTCTGAAAGGTCTGAGGGAAGGGAGTAGCACTGGATGGCACAGCACACAAGAGTGTCCCAGCCGTTTACAGAGACTTGGGCTAATTGTGACCAGGATGTGACAGAAAAGCCACCAGCTGGGATGGGGAGTGGGTGTGTCTAGTGATACTTGATCCATCAGAAAACAGGGCATGAATTAGGAACAAGAAATGACAGGGAAAGAGCAAAGTACAGAGAAGAGAGGAAAAAAGAGGGAGTCAAAACGGCTGGACCATAGCAGTGAGGGGGTCTAGTCAAGCTAGCTGTTGTATTTCAGAGAGATCTGGGGTTACATATGACACTGTGCATGTAGCCAGAGATGGGGATCAAATTGTGACAAGGATAAGAACTCACTCTGTAACCCAGATAGTCTTTGAGTTGATCCAGCCCTAGCCTGAGGGTGCAAAGCAACGTGACTAAGTGATCCCTGGAGAGATGGAACCTGTGACCTTAGTGTTATTAGCACCATGTGGTACCACACTGAGTTAATAACAATTAGTCAAAACAAAGACAAGCAACAAAACCAGCAGGTGTCTCTGTGGACTGAGCCTTGGGAACTCTCTGGGGCTCATTAACTGCTTTCTAAAAAAAAGCCTGAGGAGACGTTGTGGTAATGACCAAAGAGCAGGGAGGTCAGGGCAAGACAAGACATCAGAGCCTATTGGGTCTATGTGCACTAGACTAGTGTGGGGTGGAGGGGGACTTGCTTCATGGGCTATGAGAGCAGGACTGGATGCGAGAGATGGAGGGATTTCTCCACTCCAGCTGCAGTTCAAAGGTCGTCATGGTGCTTCCTCTGGACAGAACAACAGGCTCTTATAGCACAGCATTCTCATTGAGGGCCCCCCATGGGGCTCTGGCAACTAGAGGCTAGACACCTGTGCTCTGAACCGTACACGCCACCCACTCCTCCAAACGTGGTACAGCACAGTAGCATAAAAAACAACCCAGGCAGTCCCCTACAACCCCAGTTTCTGAGGGTCACTGGGAGAAACCAGATGTGGTGAGTGGACTGAGCAAAGCGAATAGCAGGTGAAGAAAGGACAAGACTGCAGGTAAGAGTGATAAACAGGGAGAGGGTAAAAACTGGGGATGAAGCAATAAAGAGAGGAAAGAAGAGGGAGAAATAGGTGTGGACATTACTGTTTCTGAGCCTAAAAGGAAAGAAAGAAAACAAGGTGAAGAATTTGACCCTTCTCAGAAAGTTACTTCAATTCTTGAGGAGTTGGAAAGTAGACTGAAGCTGGGGGACTGGGGTAGAGCAAGGGGAGATATTTTTTGTTCACAATGTTTTTCAAGATTTCTGTTTCCTTCCTGATTTTTTGTCTAATTATTTTATCAATTATTGAGATTGGGATATTGGAATCTCAACTATTATTGTTGAATTGCTCATTTCTCCTTTCAATTTTGTCAGTTTCATTTAATGTACTTTAGGGATCTGTTGTTATTTTTGTATGCATTTATAATTGCTATAGCTTCCTGATATTGACCAATTTTTAACTGTGAAATGTTCTTTGTCTCACAATATTTCATATCCTGAAGTCTATTTTGTCTGATATTGGTATAGCCACTCCAGTTCTCTTATGCTTGTTTACAATGTATATATTTTTTCATCTTTTTACTTTAAGCCTATTTATGACTTTGAATCCAGGATGTGTCTCTTGTATAGAAAATATATTTATACCTTGCCTTTTTATTCTGTATAACAATGTGTGATTTTTGTGAGGAGTGTTTAATTGATTTACTGAGTTTGGTATTTGTTTTCTGTTTATCTTCTGCTCTTTCTTGTTTCTTTGTTGCTCCATTGCCTTCATTTGTGTTAAATAAATGTTCTTAGTGAAACATTTTAATTCATATTTTGATTTCTGTTTTTACTATTTTAAACTTTTTATCTTATCTTCTGCTCTTTCTTGTTTCTTTGTTGCTCCATTGCCTTCATTTGTGTTAAATAAATGCTCTTAGTGAAACATTTTAATTCATCTTTTGATTTCTGTTTTTACTATTTTAAACTTTTTATTAGTCATTGCTTCCTAGGTTACAAAATGCCCATTAATGTATAAGTTACTTCAGAATAATATTAACCCAATTCCAGTAAAATATAACATTTGTTTCAATATGTTTCCATTTCCTCCCCTTTTATGTGGTATTATCATATATATACACATATAAATATATATGTACATATAATTGACCCAAAATACAGTGTTACAGGTATTTCTCCATATAATCTATGTCTATATCTTTTGAGAAAATTAAGGAAGATGCATCTATAGAGTCCTTTTTATTTACTGCTATATATACTGGTCCAGTACTCTTCACTTCTTCCTACAGATTTCATTACCATCTAGTTTTATTTTCTTTCAGCCACAGCTCCCTGTTAAATCCCCAGCTAGTCTGCTGGTGAATGACATGCCCCAAAGAGGACCAAAACCTTAAAATAGTAGAGCTACCGGCCCTCCCTACGCGCTTGCCACCAAATTTGCCATGGTAATTGACATGCTCCAAATCAAGGAAGCTGCCTCAGGCAAGTGGGACAAAGCTGTTGGCTGTCCTGTCTGACCACTGCTGACAGAGCTGAAGGCAGGGGTGCGGATGAGAGCAGCCCCAGGGCAGAATGCCAAGAACAGAACATGGCTGTCACTTTCCAAAGTTCAGTCATTTCAGTACATGGATTTATATCTTAGGAATTTCCAGAGTGCCGAAATGGATGTTATTGACAGTTTGCCAGCTTTATAGCTGCTTTGTGAAGGAGAGGACTTAGGCTTCTCACTCCATCACTCCAGAAATGAATGCCCATGCCCACTTCTATTTGTTCCACTTTTGATGACTTCCTTGGATTGATTAAACTCTTTGTTGCATTTATTTTATTTGAATCTGTTTTAAATAAAAGTTATTACATTTTATTAAAAATTTTTAACTTCATATTTTAGAACATATACATTTGTGCTAATATTTTAGGGTTATTTTGTATCTGCAACATTATTATGTTCTCAGGGATCTATCATCCCTGAGAACATAATTTAGCATGTTTTTATTTTGCTTTTACCTAGATCCCAATTTTTAGGGTTGTTTTGTCTGAAACTGCAGTTCCAACTTTTTTGGGCATTTGGCTGGGAGAAGGAGATATGACTATAGTGTGTGCCTAGTCATTCTTGTTATAATTATAAATAATATTTGAGTTTTATGTATGAGGACAGGCTAATTATGAGGATTTTATTTTGTGAAATTGGTGAGTAGCGATGCCAACAACTTACCTAGGGAATTAAGATATGTCTCATGGTTGTTTTCATTGTTGTAATTTCCCTTTCACTGTTTCATAACTGAAGATTCTAGAAGATGTTTTAACATGCATCTGTTTTGGATTATTTAAATTTTTGGGCATTTGGCTGGGAGAAGGAGATATGACTATAGTGTGTGCCTAGTCATTCTTGTTAAAATTATAAATAATATTTGAGTTTTACGTATGAGGACAGGCTAATTATGAGGATTTTATTTTGTGAAATTGGTGAGTAGTGATGCCAACAACTTACCTAGGGAATTAAGATATGTCTCATGGTTGTTGTCATTGTTGTAATTTCCCTTTCACTGTTTCATAACTGAAGATTCTAGAAGATGTTTTAACATGCATCTGTTTTGGATTATTTAAACTTAAAATGCATTGGGACATCCAAGTGGGGATTTCCAGAATGAGGTGAATATAGAATGGTCTGGAAAATGTATTCATGATTCATCAGTTTATAGAGTTTAGTTGAAGTCATGAGAGTAGATAAGACCACTGAGGAAAAGGAAGAGGGCCGAGTAAAGATTCTTCCAAAATACCAGTGTATATTTTGTAGGAACACAGCAAGGTGAATTAAAAAGTTAAGTTCTGAGATGCAAAATTAAAAAGAAAAGGAAACAGTGGATTGAAAGCAGCCAAAGCTCATTGTGAAATAAATCAAACTTTGGAAAAATGAGGAAATAAAGGAGTTGTTGGTGACTTAATAAGAGAAATTAAAATGTACAAAAAAAGTGAATGTCTTAAAGAAGCACATAAGTCAGATTGTCTGGGATTGGGAGGAGAAGAAAATATAAATATATAGATGCTCTCCTCAGATGTTTGTCAGTAAGGGAGGAAGGTAAATTAAGCAAATGTTATAAGGAGAGGCAGGGTTAAAGGAAAATAGGAAAACAATATAAAGAAAGAAACAACTACAGAGATTTAAGAAGAGTTATATAAAAAGCTCCAAGACAAGGGATGAATATGGCATAGACTATTCAAATATATGTGTGCCTAGGGAGGGAATGTGTATGTGTATGTGGCATGAGGCAGGAGAGGGGAGAGAAAGGCTGTTTAGAAAGTGTTACGCAGATGTGTCACAAGATTAAGTAAATATTTCTCATCAATTTTCAGGTTCCAGAGTACAAAGTGGGATCCTGAGCTATGTCAACATTCTCCACCCAGACAGCTGCCAATGGCAGCACTTCAATGGCCCCCACCTTCCTGCTAGCGGGCATGCCAGGCCTGTCAGCTGCACCCTCCTGGTGGATGATACCTCTCATCTCTGTCTATCTCCTCTCTGCCCTGGGCAATGGGACCATCCTCTGGATCATTGCCCTGGAACCTGCCCTACACCACCCAATGTACTTTTTCCTTTTTTTGCTTAGTGTGTCTGACATGGGCTTGGTCACAGCCCTGATGCCCACTCTGCTGGGCTTGGCTTTTGCTGATGCTCATGCTGTCCCTGCCTCGGCCTGCCTCTTACAGATGTTCTTTGTCCATGTCTTTTCTGTCATGGAGTCCTCTGTCTTGCTCACCATGGCCATCGATCGGGCACTGGCCATCTGTCGTCCTCTCCATTACCCAGCACTCCTCACTAATGGCGTCGTTAGCAAGATCAGCCTGGCCATTGCTTTCTGATGTCTGGGTCTCCACCTGCCCCTGCCATTCCTCTTGGCCCACATGACCTACTGCCACCCACAGGTACTGACCCATTCTTATTGCTTGCACCCAGATGTGGCCCATCTGGCCTGCCCAGGAGCTTGGAGTCCAGTCTACAGCTTTGTTGTGGTCCTGTCAGTCATGGGACTGGACCCCCTGCTTATTTTCTTCTCCTATGGACTGATTGGCAGGGTGTTGCAAGGTGTGGGGTCCAGTGAGGATCGCTGGAAGGCTAGTCAAGCCTGTGCTGCCCATGTCTCTGCTGTGTTCCTCTTCTACATGCCTATGATCCTCCTGGCACTCATTAACCATCTTAAGCTGCCAATCCCTCAGCATGCCCATACTCTCCTTTCCTATGTCCACTTCCTGCTTCCTCCACTGATAAACCCTATTTTCTATAGTGTCAAGATGAAGGAGATTAGAGAGAGAATACTCAAGAGGTTGCAGCCCAGGAAGGTGGGTTGTGTGCAGTGAGGAGGATGTCCCTCCATGTTTGGTGGTACAGGGCTCCTGATACAAATGTTTCTATGACTGAGAACTCAGCTCACTGTGAGTGAAATGGTCATTTAGGCACACCTACATGCAGACACATGAGTGTGTATCTTCCTAGCCCTAGAAGTTTACATGCATGTATTTATGAAAGCTTACAAGCTTCAGAGAAAGGAAGTAACCCAGTCACTGTTACAGTACAAGCCAATGGCATATAAAGGACCAGAGTCCGGGTCATGTCACAGCCATCCACATATGCGGCTGTTTTGTTAATTCCCTCACTATGTCTACACCTTAATAATGGAGGAAGGTGGAAGAGTTCAACAGCCACATGGCAGGGAGAAGACAGAAACATTCTACCTGCCTGGATCGAGGACCTTCCCCTGGTGTTAGACCCTTGTAAGAAACAGGAAATCTGACTGAACCTTAAGGATTAGATGAATGAGGAAGACACAAGCAAGTCTCTCGTTTAGGGTTTGTACACCAAGAGATATAGGTTGTCTAGCTCTGAACATGCCAGGGAAAAGAAGAGGGGAAGTAAATGTTTTTTCAGTATTTAGTCTTCAAAATGTTTGCATAATTTTTGAATATATATGTACAGATTTGTTGTTAAAATTTCTCATAGTTCAAAAAAATAGAATAAATAAAAATCACTTTCAGTTATATCATCCAAACTTAATCATAATTACCTTTTTAGTAAACACTAAAAATGTGTTTTATATAAATGGAATTTACATGTTATATGGAATTATATATACATAGTCTATACTTCCTAGTAGTAGTATTACACATCCACACCCACATCATGGGCATCGGAGGAGGAAGATTGTACTTACCTTCACTTTGACTTTGAGCTTGGACACATGACTTACTCCATCAATGTGGTCCTCCTGAGTTGTTTTGGTCAATAGGATGTTAGTGGATATGATAAGAGAAGGAACTTAAGTGTGATTTTGCGTTGGGGTTTGACTTCTTGTGTGATGAATAGTTCTTACCCAGTAGGTTCCGCCCCTTCAACCAGGTCTCCAGAATGAGACACATGGTACAGACCTAAAGCAAATCCACAGTCTGAGTCCGGTTCCTGTTGCCTGAAGACCTGACGCAGAGCCACCAAATCAAAGCAGCCTAAATCAGGAGAACCTCACCTCTACCAACCTAATGACCAGTGAATATTACAACAAATGCTGTAGTTGTAAGCAATTGAGGTTTTGTGGTTGTTATGTATCAAAAGTGAACTAACACTGTGTAATTATAGTTTTATTTTATAAAAACGGTTAATTCCCTAATTTTAAAATTTGTGTCAGTACAATTATTAATATATATACAAGGGTACTTGAAAAAGTTCATGAAAAGATTCATATTATCTTTTAATTCTATTTTTCCACAAACTTTTCAAAGTACTCTCATATGAGGAGCTTGCCTTGTTTGTAGCACGATAGTTGAATAGCATTCTATACACCTTTCTGCGTCTTGTTTTTTTCATGGTATGAATACTTTTGTGTCAGTTGGTATGGATTTAATTCATTCAAATGACTATATGAAATTTCATGGTATGGATGGACTGTAATTTATTCAATTGTTTTCTATTAATGGGTATTAGAATTGTCTTCTGTTTTATGCCACTCCAAACAATGCTGTAATAAACATTCATATACAGTTCTCCATGTGTACTTAATGCTATTATTTCTATAAGACTGATCTCCAGGTCATTGCTGCTGGCTTTAAAGGATGGTACATTTTTTTTATTATTATTTCAATATGTGTTGGCAGATTCCTTTAACAGTGCCATGAGCCATCCTGCTATAGGGAATGGCATGGGAGCCTGAGTGATACTAAAGGATGGTACATTTTTTTTATTATTATTTCAATATGTGTTGGCAGATTCCTTTAACAGTGTCATGAGCCATCCTGCTATAGGGAATGGCATGGGAGCCTGAGTGATACTCCTTGCTCTGCAGGCTACAACGGGGTCCCATGTGTGTGGCATGGCTCCCTGGAATTTCTTGTTTGTTCACCTTTGGTTGCTTGACAAGGCTTCCCAGAATGAAACAGCCTAACCTTTTGGCTTAGTATGGCTTTGGGAAATTCCCTGGAGTTTCTCAAAGGACTTGTTAAAATACATCAAAATTAACTGGTTTATTTAAAAGACATTGTCAGTACTAAAGGTGTTTTTGATGCATGTTCCTGGTATGGGTTGGCTCGATTTAATTTGTTATTAATCTTTCTTGTTAGTGATGTGTGCATGGACCCATTGTGGCTGTGGTCATGCTCTTGTACGCGTGGAATGAAGTTATTATGTTGGATTTCTATCCACATTCCCCAGGGAGGTGGTGGGTCCGAGTGCAGTGGTGTTTACAACTAATTAATCATAACCAGTTACGAATTTTTTTTGTTTTCCCCATTCCAACAATTTCATTTGATTTACCAAGAACAAGTTGTGTCCCTAGTAATAATAACAATGATGTAATGTGTTTTTTAGTATGAGTAGGATCATTTAATTTTTCACCTTGTTCCTTGTTCCCGGAGTCAATTGGCAAGGAAACAGAAAGTTTTGCTACAGAGATGGATAGGTAAAATAGTAAAGATACATAAATAAGTTTTGATGTTTGATTAGTTTAAAGTGTTTTTGTTTTTAACAATAGAATAAAATGTAATGGAACATTATAGTTAATTTTCATTATAAAAAATCACATAATAGACATTGTGATTTGGGTTATGAATTAAAATAATCAATATAAAGTATAAGCAATTTTAAATTGTTAAAATAGGTATAAGTAAATAAGTATAATCAATTAAGAGTTTAGAACATAAATTAAAATGTAAGTTTAAAAGGTTAAGAATTGTGACTCAGACCAAAGGTCTGACGTTCTAAAGCCAAGCATGCTCTATTGTACAGTTTCTTGGCTATAGGCCACAGACTTTGGGGTAAATTTTTGATGTTTGATGTATGAATAGATGTTCTTGTAAAAGCATGAATGGTTTGGAACATTTTAAACTTTTTTTCTCTTAAAATAAGAAATGTTTTGATGGAAAGATAAATCATTATATTTAAGGTTAAGTAAAAGATATAAATAAAGAGGACGACCTTTGTGAGTGGTCCACTGATGCACTAGACATCGTGGTCCGTGTCTTTTCTTTCCTCGCCGAAGCCACACCACCTATTCAGGTCCAACGAATCCTGCGGAGCTGGTCTCCAGCATAACAGAAGGCTATATCAATTTGTATTTCTGTACTATGTAGGAGAGTTCCTTTTTCTTACATATCCACCAAAATTAACTTCTGCTATTTTTAAATTTTTATCGATTTTATTAGTGAGAATTATTTTATTTTATTTTATTTTGAATTTTCCTAATCATAAGAGTGTCTTTCATGTGTCTATTGACTATTTTGTCTTTTCTTCCATGAATAGCCTATTCAAATAATCTTTATCCACTTCTTTATTGAGTTATGTTTTAAATGTAAATTTGCAGAAAACCTTAGTTTTATGCCTTTCAGAATCTAGTATCTGTCTTTGGCCCTGTTTGGCAACCAACTCCCATGCAAATATAGATAGTTTTATATAACTGAATTCACCTTTATTTTTATTTCTATTTTTTGCATTGCATATATTGCTTTAATAAATATATCTTTGACCTCTATGTTGTATGTATAATCTTTTATGCTTTTTTCTAAAAATGTTGTAGTAGATTTTACTTTTAAGTCTCTGTCAGAAGTCCAAATTTACATTAATCAAGGTAAATATGAGGATACTACAAAAAGTTCATGGAAAAATTGAATTAAAGGTAATACAAATCTTTCCATGACCTTTTTGAAGGCCTATTGCATGTACCAGTAGCAGAATCACCTACTTATGTAAGTCTTTTGTTGCTATTATAAATAAAATATGTCTTATCTTGCAGTAATACATCTTACCAAATTGTTATATGCATTACAGGTTTTTTTTTATTTTTTAGATTGTATTTGCATGCAGCAAATTACCAAATTGTTATATGCATTACAGGTTTTTTTTTATTTTTTAGATTGTATTTGCATGCAGCATATATATATATATATATATATATATATATAAATAGATGATTGGTAACTTTTCTCCAATATTCATACCTATTATTTTCTATTCTTTTTTATTTAATTCACTGTAACCTCCAAAGCAATTATGAAAGATAATAGTGAGAGTGAATATTCAAATCTTGTTTCTTATTTTAATATAAATGGTGTGTTTCACCTATTAGAACTATGGTTGGCTGATAAATCTTTGGGTAAACTTCATAATATTAAATGGTTGATTTATATTCCAATTTTATTTCATTTTTAGTAGGCTTACCTGCTGAATTCTGTCAAAGGCTTTTTAAGCATTCACTGATAAATTCATTATTGTCTGCTTTAATGTATTGATAAGTTTTTTTATATTAAAACATCGTTGTTCTCTTGTGATTATAGAAGAATTCATTTTAAATGAAAAATAGCAAATTTAATCCACTTAGTACCAAAACAATAACTCAATGACATATTGAGATACATTCCAGGAACACAGGAAAAGTTATATCCTCTTACTGTATAAAGCTACTCTGCAAGTATATTATATAAAGCTACATATTATATAAAGCTACTCTCTTATTAAACTAATTAGATGAGTTAGTCTCTCAATTTCAGAAATAAGAATACTGAGGCTGAGAAATTAAGAATGTCCCAAGTCTGTAGAATTACAGAGACAGCATTTATTTTCAGATTTGTCAGTCCAAAGCACTTGACCTTTGAAATACGTTGGTTGGAGAAGCAGCTTGGTCTTGAAGCAACGGTGATGACATCTCTGCGAAACCCTGCTTTCTCAAAGTCTGTCCCTCCTCCTCCCTGGTACTTTCACCTCCAGATTCCCATTATTTGCTGGTGGTAGAATGATGGGAACTTAAGGTTTAGAGTCACACAGGTCTGTGTTTGAATTCTTACTCCACTCCTTCATGTAGGATTTGGCATCAGTAGTTCCC